CTGACGTTAGTAGCCTAGGGGACTTGTTAACGTATCCCTCTAGGAATACGTCAAAGATAACGGGACGGTGATCTAAAGGACGACCTAGCCAACGGTCGCTACTCAGCTTAAGTGCTAGGCCTGGGCCCTCGCCCTCGCGGCCTCGTACCTAGGCCCCGACGTTCTAACACCAAGGCCCATAACAGGCCAAAATAGTACCAACTGCTCCCCAGAATGACAAGTGTAGCGCTCAGAGCGCTGCTTCCCAGTGACTTTGCACCAATAGCAGATAACCACTAGTGGTGCACAACCCACCAATAGGACGCCTCCACGTCCTAGCGATCCAAACGAGACAAAAAGTGATGTCGGGGACATGCTCCTCGGACGACAGGCATAAAAGGACCCTTTTTTCTCCAGAAGAAGGGATCGACTCTCTCACTATCTCAAATTAAACCCTAATTCTCTCATACAACTACTGACTAGACCGTTGGAGTCTCGTTACGGGACCCCCTCTCGGATGACGACTAACGTTGGCTCTTTCTTTGTTGTGATTCTCAGGCTTAACTCACGCGAAACCACCTCAGACGACGTTAAGCTCGAAGACATATGACAACAGTTATCATTACTATAATAGCATCGTAATAGGAGTTTTTTCAAATAAAAAGTTCTCAACATTAAAAAAAATGTTAAATCATACAATTTGAACTGTTCACGTCAAACAATCTCAAGGCCTACGTAGAAAGTTAATCACACAACACTAACAATATTTTGAGTTTGTCAAGATTGGAACTCTAGACCTTATGTATGAAATTTCACTCAACTATTAGGTTTCTATCGTAAAGACCAAAAATTCTTAAACATTTTAATAAGATAAAATGAGTTTTTTTTTTCTTTTGCAAAAAACTAGACTTTTTCAATAAGCTCTACAGTAAAAGTTTTTTCACTATTTAATATTGTTATATTCATGTATCTATATATTTATATGTTTTTGTCTTTAATTGGTATTATTGGACCATAAAAAAATATGTAAACAAACTTTTTTATAATAAGTGCCTATAAAGCTTGTTGGGTTAATGATTTGACATGACGTTTCATAAATATACCAAAAAACTTTATAAATAAAACTCTCCTTATTGTAATACTCTAAAACTTAACATTACTTAGCTTTGATTGCATGTAAAAAGCTATAGGTTAGCCAAATGTTGACATATCGCAAGAGATTGCTTTTTTTAGTAGGAGAGACGTATTAAAGATACATTAGAAATAAAATTTAGAAAATATATTCAAAAGGTACAAACTATATTTTTGTCTTTCGGAAAAAGATGTCAAAAGACTTTTTTATGTTGTATTTTAAAAAACAATCTTTTTCTCAAAAAAATTTCCTCTGATAGACATAAGAGGTCAAAAAGACATTTTTGATAAAAAAACAAACACCACCTAACTCTACTTAATCCACTTGAAATAAATAAGTTGGATCTCATTCCCCATCTTCAAATGACTAAACTTCATACTCTTGAAGATAAACAAGTTCCCGACTTTTCAAATAACCAAATATCTGAGTAGATCAAACTAGCCATCATTTTGCACCTTCTTTTTACCCAGTGTTCTAATTACAACCACCTTTGTTCAGAGGAACCACTCCAAGCATAAGAGGTTACTTGCTGTGTTGGCATGTAAAAAGATAACTATTTTTTTGTTTTTCTTTTTTCAAAAAGTTCACTAGTTACCAAATGTTGACGTATCAAAAGACATTACTTGTTTTGTTGGCATGTAAATAGTTAATGTTGTGAAAAGAAACCAGCTATCTATCTGAAACATCTACTTTATTCATTTGTCTACCACTTTATTCACTTGCAAACATTTATATAGAAAATCCATCAAATGTTGACATATCTTTCTAATTTAAATTCCATTGTTACTATTATTATGAACCACACCTTCACCTTCATCTCTATTCCCTCAACCTTTCTCAGTCTTTGTCATCTTCAATTTCTATCATAAACAGTCGCATAATACAAGCATAAAAAAACATTGAACCCATTAAAGATGTTTACACATAGCAAAGGCACCCGAAACACATACCAATAGTGTCAACATAGCATCCGTATCCCGAGTAACAAATTTTTATATAAATGAAACTATTTATGCTGGCTGATTTGTCGACGAAAGGCTTGTACGCACGATTTCCATGAAAAGAGATGATGACTTAGTGAAAATGAATGGTATCACAAGTAATTTATAATGACCGGAACGAGTCCAAATATGATGCATTTTCAATATCATTTTTTTTTACAAATTTTTCTTTTTTACAAACTATTTTCACAATTTATTTTATATTTTGGTATGTACGCATATTCTTTTAAGGATTTTCTGTTTTCAAATCATTTTTTTTTCAAATAAATTTTCTATTTCATTTAAACATTTAAATATCGGTTTTCAGACATCTAGGGTTATAAAAATGTATAAAAGTTACTTTTTTAATTACTCGTTTTCACAAACCAGAAGTGACCTTTGTTTTTAAAACATGCTTTTTCTTGAAAAAAATTAACTTTATTTACATATTTTAAAAGCTTTGTTATTTACAAAATCAATTTTTATAAAAAAGAAATTACAAATTTTTAATACGTTTTCGTTTTTACAAATACTAATTAAGATTTTTCCCGTTTTTACAAAAGTAGATTTTCTTTTCCAAATCCTTTTCTGTTTTTTTTTCACATATTAGTTTAGATTCTAAAAAGAGAAATCTCTGAAAAAGTTCAAAAGTTTTGACAAAGTTTATGATTGAGACACAAATTATTATTATTTTTTAATGAAAATTTCTAAAAACCGGTAAAAATATGTAAAAAAAAAAGTCCATAATGTAATATATTGAGAAATTTTCATATATGCCCTTGTTAAATATCAAAATATCATATTTACCCAACCAAAAATCTAAATATCAAATTTATCCTTCATAAACTTTAAAATATCATATTTACCCAACCAAAAATCTAAATATCACATTTATCATTCATAAACTTTAAAATATCATATTTGCTCCAAAAAAAAACTAATTTTTTCTAACATTTTATAATAAATTTAATTGTTTAGTTTTAGTAATAAAGTATTATACTCTTCATATATTCCCACCTTCATTGATTGTTTGAACTTCGAAATCTCATCTAAAAAATTCATTGGGATATTTTAAAACAATAGCAAAAGTGTTTAATGTGTTTGTGAAACGTCTCAAAACAATCTAAGTAATCAAAAATTATGTATGCATCTCTATTGCTTTTAATTTTGGTTAAATTCTACTCAAAAGTAATAAACTAAATGTCTAGTGAATTCAATCTTTCTCACATCAATTCTCAATATCAGTTACTTGTTAAAGTTTTACCTGATTCAGTAATAAATTCAATTTTAAACACACTTTACAATTTTCTCCCTCACGTACTCAAAACCTTAGAAAAATCATTGATATTATACGCAAAGATCTCAAACAAAGAAGAATCACCATTCTTGTTCCAAAATAGCTTCAATCAACTTTCTTTTAGATGGATGTTTGATGTTGAATTGGAAATTTATGAAGAGCGTATAATAGTAACTTGATAAATATATTAATTTGAAAAGATTATAAAAATGAAAAAAAATATATTTAAAACTAGAAAGGTTACCCCCGCTACGCGGGGGCCAGAAGCTTTCAATGTTGTTTCCGAATTGATAAATATGACAGACATAAAAAGTGCAAGGATGAAAAGTCCGGGCTTTGCCCCGGACAAAAAATGTAAAAGTTTTGACTGCAAAGACCAGAAGTGTGAAAATGGCTAAAGAATTAAAGGGGTAGGAATTAGCAACTTTTTAGAAAAGGGATCAAAGTTGTCAAACCGTAAAGTTTTGTGGCAAAACTTTAAATATTAAAAGGTTCCAAAAAAGTGTAAAAATATTGATTGCAAGGACCAAAAGTGTCAAAATGGGTAAAGAATAATGAGCAAAGTTGCCAAAAAACATCCAAATTTAGTATTCCTAACTTCCAACAATAATACAGAGACCAATTCTGCCAAAAAATGGGAAGTTGAATGGAACACAAACAAAAGGACATGAATAAATTAATTAAAGAAGTACAGGGACCGGATATGTAAATCAAGGGACCAAACCTGGACAAAGTATGCCAACTTTACTATTCCTTTCTTCCACAACTTTAATATATATAATAATAAGCTATGGGCAAATATGATATTTTGAGGTTTATGAAGGGTAAATATAATATTTTAAAGTGTATAAATGGTAAATATGATATTTTTGTTTTTGGTTGGGTAAAATGTGATATTTTGGTTTTCGGTTGGGTGAATATGATATTTCGGTTTTTGGTTGGGTAAATAAAGATATTTGATGTTTAAAAATGACATACAAGAAATCCTTCATAATATTTTACTTTACTGATTTTTAAGATTTTTTTATAAAAAAAATAATTTGGAACTAAATGAACTGGCCAAATTTAAGGATTTTTTGGAGATTTTCCTTGTAAAAATATGTAATTTTTTTTTAACATATTCATTTTAACAAAATGTGCACTTTTAGGTATAATTAAACATAATATTATTATAAATTATGTCTGTGCCTAATGTACGTACACAAATTTCCTATAACATCACATGGGGTGAAAAAAAATCAAATTAACAATTTTTGCAAAATAGTTGGACCAGAAAATTAGTATCATAACCAAATATAAATATAAATATTATATCACAACAAAGATTAATTGATGAATACCATTTTCTGTCAAATTGGTAAAAAAAAATTGTTTCTACCTTAAAGAAATGACAAATCAAACTTGGAAACATGAGACACAAGTACAAAACAAACGGGTATACATACTTTTTATTTTCATAGAAGAATCTGTTTTGCAACATAAACATATTTCATAACACTTATTCAATCAAATAATCAATGGAGACTCTTAATATCTTACATTAACCCTTGTCCAATATAAGTAATAATCATAACACTCTGCAGAAAAAAAAAAAAAAAAAAAAAAAACATAAACATACTCTAATTCTAATGAAAACAAAATCTTCACTTTCTTTTAAGGGTGACAAAAGGGCAAAATGGTGAAGTTCTGTGAAGCGCTTTAAAAAAGTGCAGCTGAATAAAGTTCTGGCCCCTTCAATGGTTCCTGGAAGTCTGGATTGATGGGAAAAAGTTCACATTGTGCGTATTGTGCCATTAATTGATCAACTAGAACCAATGCCACCATTGCTTCAACCATGGGCACAGCTGTAAAAAATCATCCATCCAAAATTCAAAATGTAAAACTGGCTAGATTACCATTTTACCCTTACAAGTCATCAATTTTAGTGTGCCCATTAAGTAAAAAAGAATGAAAAAGTAGGATGCTAGAAGTAGAAGGAACCTCTTGGGACAACACAAGGATCATGTCTGCCACGAGCTATAAGTTCTGTTTCATTTTTATCTCTTGTCACAGTGTTCTGCTTCCTCTGCAAAGTTATTAGAAAAATAAATATAAAAAAATTTGAATTTAGATACTATAATATATTAATAATACTTACTCCAATGGTAGATGTTGGTTTGAAGGCTATTCTCATGTATATGATCTCTCCATTAGAAATTCCACCCTGTATCCCACCAGAACGATTTGTTCTTGTCCTAATCCGCCCATTTTCATCCGTATAAAACGCATCATTATGTTCACTACCCGTTAAAAGGGTACCTACGTTTTGTTCAAATTTATTAAAAAAATACTTAATAAAAATACATACCTAACCTAAGGACTAAAAAGTAAATCCAATAATGCTAACCTGCAAATCCGCTTCCAATCTCGAACCCTTTTGTTGCAGGTAAGGACATGGCTGCTTTAGCCAACTCAGCTTCAAGTTTGTCAAAAACTGGTGAACCAAGTCCCTAAAATATCAAAAAATTTAAAGATAAATAAAAAAAACGTGTAAATTAAATAAACAAACACACAGATTGCTTACCCTTGGAGCATTTCTAACAATACATGTGACAACACCACCAACGGAATCACCTCTCACTCTAACAGCATCGATTGCAGCAATCATCTTTTCTGCATACTCGGGATCCGGGCACCTAACAATATTGCTCTCAACCTGAAATTATTACAAAAAAATAAATATATAAATTTGTTAGGATCCAAGAAAAATTCAAGATTTTAAGAGAATATTTAGAAGAAAAAAAAAATAAAGATCATAGTTAACCTGTTCAAGCGTCAATGTATTGTGATCAACTAGATCTTCCGGAAGCACAACTGTGTGGGCTTGTGACACATACGCAAGAATCTGTAAAAAGAAAAAACAAGCAAGGTTAAAATTGTAATTTACTATATATATACTTCAACAGGGAATGAATATTAGCTTGTAAACATACCTCAGTGCCAGAATATGCCTTGAGAATCTTCTTTGCAACAGCTCCAGAGGCAACTCTCCCAATTGTCTCCCTAGCTGATGATCGACCACCACCCTGTATGTTTATCATAATTTTAAACTCTGAATGTTTTTTTTTTTAAAGTATAAATTTTATTTGTGAAAATATAGTACCTCTACTGATCGTACACCATATTTGAAGTCATAAGTAGCATCAGCATGAGAAGGTCGATAAGCCTTTGACATTTCACTGTAGTCCTGTAAAGTTCAATAACCAAAATACTGTGAATCTTACCAAAACCTAAATGGGTATTTATTATTATTATTATTATTATTATTATTATTATTATTATTATTATTATCCTACTATTGACATCATGTTAACGGGTACTTACTTTTCCCCTTTGATCTGTGTTGGGTACATTTATCATGATTGGAGATCCAGTTGTGTATCCTGCATTTAGTGCACACAATTAGGTCATTAGGGATCTCTTCTAAATGAAGATGAAGTCTAGAGAACTTAATGATATTAAGGGATATGGATATTTACTACAAACTAACCATCAGCTACTCCTGAAAATATGGTGCATGTGTCTGTTTCTTTTCTAGGTGTAGTAATTCGGCTCTGACCTGGTCTCCTGTAAAAAAGATTCAGATTTTAATGATATCATGGAAGGTGATTGATTACTGATAAGTATGATAGTACCTTCTGTCAAGATCAGCTTGTAAATCAGCCTCTGAAATGGGAAATCTAGGAGGACACCCATCAATAATACAACCAACACCTCCACCATGGGATTCACCATATGTTGTAACACGAAAGTAATTTCCATATGTACTTCCAGCTGCATGTATCTCTGTAAATGCCAGTTGCATGAATCAGGTGGAACACTCAAAATATCAAAGTTCTTTATTAAGGGTATAGTAATGCATACAGGTTACCAGAAGAGGTTTCTTAATAACCAACAAAATGTACATACACTCTATTTTCTTATGTCTTTTCAACAATCCCCATGGATATGAAATATAAATATATGCATAATAGAAGAATATGAAATATAAATATATGCATACACTCTATTTTCTTATGTATTTTCAACAATCCCCATGGATCATGGATCATAATTGATGGAATTCAAATCCGAAATATTCACTCGAGACACTCAATTTAGCATAGGGTTAATGAATCTCCCTATACCTCATTCGGAAATGTAACTTCAACCAAAAGTTTTTATTGAAGTCCAATGCTTCAAAATGCTTTTTCAAAAACTATATTGTAGTGCAACTGAATTATCAAATTTGTCCACTACACAATCCCATCAATAAGTTCCTAATCCATTGGTAACGAATTCATGGTCTTTGTCAAAATTAGTTCAAGTCATTGGTTGATCTCAGTATACCCCCAAAAAGAAATAAAGAATATTACATCCTACACCACAATTCAAGCAAAAATTGCATCAACAAGATTCATTATCCAGTTAGATTCTGGCTCTTGCAGAACAAAACAGTAGAAAGTGTTAGGGAATGGACTTCCATCCACTTGAAAGAATGAAGAACTTACTGCCATATCATTTTTCGGGAGCAATAATACTTCAAAGTTTCCGATTTATGTAATAAATTAGATGAGAACTATAAAAATCACAGCAAATCACCTAAGGTATATACTGGAAACTACGTTGCTTCTTTCGTATATAAGTTCATACAGATGGAATTTCCAAACCAACATTCTGAAGCTTTCACGGTAAGAGACATAATGAATTAACTTAAAGCAATCTAACGGAACACAATTTTGCGATTATCAAAGGCCACTTGCATTCACATTTTTTACTTTATCCACTATAAAAGCAAAGCATCAGAGATCTTCGTTAATAGGACGAAATTACAACAACATATATCATCAAATCTGGGGACTCACCGAGTTTTTTAGGTGGCGATCGGCGGTGAGTTGATATACGGAGGTTTGCAGAGCCGAGATCTGAGTGACGTAGAGAGGCCAAGCGTGAGGGTTCACAGGAGGATGAAGCTCCGACGAAGGCTTTGGTTAATAGAGTAGACGCCATTGTTTCTTGCAAAGAAACTATGTACACGATCTACGCCTAAATATGACTTGGGTATAGGGGGTTGGTGGGCGGACTCTGTGTGTGGCCGTGTTTGGTGGCCACCTAACTATATATGCTATCTTTAAATTTTCAAAATTATTATTATTTTTATGTATTTCATAATTATATCAATATTTTTTCTTTAGAAAATTCAATAGAAAAAAAAAAGTTAATTTATAGGATGTATTTAAGATTAGAAAACGTTTCTTTTTTCCATTAAAAAGTTCAATGATGATTGAACTTCAAATTCATTGAATGTCAATATGACATTTTATTATAACAGAGTTTCATCTATTGAATGACAATGGGAGTTATCACGTCATTCAATCATCTCATTGAACTTATCATTGCAAATATTGTAAGGGTTAGTGTAACAAACTTTTGCTATTGTAGATGTCGAAGAAAAATCGGACACTGGGACTTCCTGTGTCCCCTCTGATTGCACTAAAAACAAATCAAATCAGATACTGTAGCGGTGGTGGTAGTAGCAGTACAATCCCTGCTAACATGTCCAGTTCGGCCGCACTTGAAGCAGCCCGAACTACCCGCCCTACACGGTCCCTCATGCCCCCTGTCGCACTTGCCACAGCGGCCTCGGCCCTGCTGGCCCTTCCCTCGGGAATTTACCTTGGGCTTTTTGCCCGAGCCCTCCGTGCCAGACACTGCCTCTGGCTTCCTCTTCCTCTCCATCTCTAAATCAATCTCCCTCTCACGAGCCCTCGCTATCATATCCTCCAACATCTTGCAGCTGGACCGACTCACAAACTGACTAATATCACTCCTCAGCATCTCATGGTATTGGGCCTTTTTCATCTCCTTGTCCGCCACATACTGCGGAACGAGAAGGGCCCTCTCCCTAAACTTGGCGGTGATCTCCGTCACTGTCTCTGTAGTCTGCTGGAGGTCCTGAAACTCTCTAGCAAGCTGTTGCACCTCAATAACAGGTGCGAACTCGGCCCTGAACCTGGTCGTGAAATCACCCCAGGTCATCGCATCCAACACTGTATCATCACCAATGGCTCGTCCGACCTCCTCCCACCAATCACGTTCCTTGTCCTTCAGAAGACAGGATGCTAGTCTGACCTTGTCCCCCCTTCGGGACATCTGCTGGTGCGGAATGCGTTAGCGACATCAGCCAACCATCTAGTACTTGCAATAGGGTCCCAAGCCTCATGATAGTCGGGAGCTCCACATGCCCTGAACTCACGGAAGGTCCATGATACCCTCCTTGATCGAACCGAATATCACAGGAGTCTGCTCAAGAATACTGTGCGTGATCTCGGAGGAGATGAACTCCCTAGTCTTCTCATCTAGCTGCTCAGCTCCAGAGCCTGAGCCTGATCCCTCACCGGCACCTGAACTGCCGACTGCTGGTCTCGGGCGTAAAACCAGCATTCTGAAAAATATATCATAACAAACGTCAGAACGCTAAGCATAACACAAGGGATCTCATACACTACAAGTTTCCTGGATTCATCTCAGCCTTCCTTGATTCGAGTACGGATCCTCTGCTTTCAGTAGTACGGGCCCATACTACCTTCCACATCTATCCGTACTTTCCTCAAGAACTGCTTTAACTCCACCAAGTCCCTTCTACTACTACTTGCTTCACACGCTACTCTCATCCTAGGCTTGCCCTAGGGTAATCAAAATCTCACTCTCCACCCTCAGCTGCATAAGAAGTCCCTACTTTCTTCCCCTAACTAGCTCGCGAATACTATTACATATCACTCAGACTAGATAACTCTTCGAATGAGAGATCCTACCCTACAACGGTTGCACTCAAACAAGAGCTGCGAAATAGAGCTAGACCTAACCTTCTGAAATTAGTTAGTCCTTGCAATATGTAATTTAACATATTCGTTTACTAGTTAGTAAAAGATAGCTAAACTCCTAAAAGCGCAAAGCAAGCAGCATTCGAGTATTGAGTACACATAATCAAGCATATACTAATCAGGCTATCATACTGACTAATCTGTACTAGCATGCATTTCTCATAAAGCCGATACACATATAACAGGCACATAAGGCATCCTTCCTAGATCCCTAGTCCTAATCTAACATGTTGTTCTCATAAAGCTGATAAACATATCATAACATAAACTTGTATGGGTAATTTGGGAGTACTTACTTGAGCTCGGCTGATTGCATGCACCACACCTTCTTCATCTTTCAAAATCCTTTCCACTTTTCTAAATTTTTTTTTCTCAAAGTTTTTTTTATAAAAATGATTTTCTTTTGAAAATTTTCATACCAATTCCTTAGTTTGAGTTCAGACACACCCGAGGGTGTGCCCGAATTCCTCAAACCAAGGCTCTGATACCAACTTGAAAGATCCAAAAAATACGGTCCAAAAATTTCGTTTTGAAACTTAATATAAAACCATAAATCATTCATAATCATAAAGAAAACCATGTATCATGTATCTCAAATCATCATATCAAATACTGTGACATAACCATATTACAAAAATATCATAGTATAAACATCCCAGGCTGAAACAGTGGTGTGTGTCATGCGATCATCCCGAGCCCTTCCCTTTGCTAGTGGAAGTACCTGAAACCAAAACTGAAAACCGTAAGCACGAAGCTTAGTGAGCTCCCCCAAACTACCACATACCATACAAATATCATGCAACTAGGAGATACGGGCCCCGCCCACTATCGTGGAGATTCGGACCCCGCCCACGCTCTGCTAACTAGGAGATTCGGCCCCGCCCACACTCCGTTGTCTAGGAGATTCGGGCCCCGCCCACACTCCGCTGTTTAGGAGATTTGGGCGCCGCCCACACTCCGCTGTCTAGGAGATTCGGGCCCCGCCCACACTCCGCTGTCTAATATGCATACAAGTATCACACAAACAACAAGTATATCTACCAAACAATCACATATTTATACTCAAACAATACTATGAGGTTTGGGCCCGCCCACACTAGACTGCTACGAGATTCGGGCCCCGCCCACACTCAGATACTAACATATCAAATATACGGGCCGGCCTTGGTGCCTTAGACCCGTTCCTACTGAAAGGAAACTCACCTCGCAAGACTGACTGCTGAAAACTCGAGTGAGGAATCCCTGTCTGCTGCTCCGGTGACTCTCCGGCTATCAATTTCCATAATAACACTTAATCAAAATCTGATAATCCTTCTTAGGGTAAAATGACAATTTTACCTCTGGTCAAAGTCAACATCATGGTCAAAGTCAACCTTCCAGGTTGACCTGACTTGCCGAGTTCTAGAATTCAGAAACCCTGAAATTACGATTCGGCTCGCCGAGTCACCCTATGACTCGTCGAGTTCTCAGGCTACCCATCAGCGCAACTGGACGAACTAACTTGTCGAGTCGTCCTCAGACTCGCCGAGTCCTAGAACAATCAGAAAAAGGGACAAGATGATTCACTCGTCGAGTTCCTTGGCAACTCGCCGAGTTTCATGAACATTATCGGAGATCTTCGATCGGAATCGCTGAGTTCCCTTATGAACTCGTCGAGTCCCTTGCAGATCTACCCAAAACAGCTGGCTTCACACTTCTAAGGCTCCAAAATACTAATCCAGATCGTTTCCATGGTCCATTTCTATAAAGTTGGAGACTTGATGGCTTTGCACACCTCAAATGGACCCAAACTCAAGTTATAGCAACCTACTTCCATGAACATGACCATTGCTTGGACAAAAACGGGTTCAAGACCTCTTTTATGGTTCTAGAGGCTAAATATCACAGGAAGAAGGGATTGCTTGGCTTGCAACCCATGGAGAGTAACTTATCCTTTTCAAAGGGGTCAAAAAAGACCCATAAATCAATACTAAAAGAGATCTAAGCTATGGGTTATCAAGCTAAGAGCTTTTTACCTCAGAAGGTTGCCAAAGATGGATGAAATCCCGGATCTAGATCTTATCCACAAGCTTGATGGCTCCAAGCTCTTCCAACTCTCTTCTATATCACAAAACACACTCAAAACCTCAACAATCTCTCAAGGAAGAAGCTCACAACGGATTAGGGTTTTTGGAGGATAGGGAGGCTGGTATGGGAGGCCCAAAAAGGGAGTTAAGTGGCTTAAATAGGGTGCAAGCCCCCGAAAATAGGGTTTCTTCCTGACAAACCTACTCGTCGATTCTAGGCTTGGACTCACCGAGTAGACCATTTAAATCCCCACATCCTTTTTGGCTTCTACTCGACGATTTAGGGCTACCAACTCGTCGAGTAACTCAAAAATAAATACTTACACCGATTAATTGTGTACCAGGAACGGGGCGTTACAATTCTCCCCCACTTATCTTAGACTTCGTCCTCGAAGTCTGCTGTGTCTGAAAACAACTCCGGGTAGTGCTCCCTCATCTCCTCCTTGGGCTCCCAAGTCCACTCCGAGCCCTTGCGGTGTTGCCACTGCACCTTCACTAGCTCGACCCTCTTATTCCTCAGCTCCTTCGTCTTGGGATCCAGAATCGCCACCGGTCTCTCAATGTAATTTAGGCTGTCATCAACCTGAATATCCTCTAAGGGTACCACTACTGAATCATCCACCAAGCACTTTCGTAGCTGGGAAACATGGAATGTGTTGTGGATCTGGCTGAGCTCTGTTGGAACATCTAACCGGTAAGCAATCCGACCCACCCGGGCCAAAACCCTAAACGGATCAAATGAACCTGGGGGCCAGCTTTCCCTGCTTCTGAAACCTGATAACACCCTTCCAGGGTGACACTTTCAGGAGGACCATGCCGCCCACCTGAAACTCCAAATCCGAACGCCGCTTGTCGGTGTAACTCTTCTGCCGACTCTGAGCAATCTGGAGCCTGCTCCGGACCTGCTGGATCCGATCCGTGGTCTTGAGTACTACCTTCGTACTCCCTATGACCCTCTGAAGACCTCACCCCAACAAATCGGGGTTCTACACTTCCTCCCGTATAGCATCTCAAAAGGAGGGCGGTCTATGCTGGCATGGTAGCTGTTGTTATACGAAAATTCCGCTAACGGAAGATACGTATCCCAACTGCCACCAAAATCTAACACGCATGCGCGCAACATGTCCTCAAGAGTTTG